TAATTTTCAACCGCACAATGACACTGCTTTTTACTTTTTTTATTGGATCTCCGGATACGCTGGACGTGCCTTCCCAAAAATTTCACCCCTTGTTCATTTTGTCAATGCAAGTTAAATGTTTTCTGAATCATTTAAATCAGACGCTCTGTTCTCTCAAAAACTAAAATACCATTTTTGGAACTTTTTGCTCCGTATCTTTGAAACGGCTAGACCTGCATTTGCCAAAAGCTAATCAGCACGTCTCCTTATCAATATTAATCGAATGCTTTTGTATCATTCAAATTGGTTGATCCATGTTTTCTAAATGGTCGACGAAAAATTGTACATGCACGCACATACATCCTTTTTTTTCTAAGGCATACCAAAATGTTCCGAAACCTCTGAAACGTACAGATATATAAATAATTTCATTTTTGACTTTCATGCGATTACTATAACTTACCCTACGGGAAATTAAAAATGCCATTTGGCGGTCAAACATTATCATTACGTATGCACATCAAATTATCAGAGGTTTCATAAAAAATTTAATAGTAAGTACAAATTTTCTTTGTATTAGGTTGTCAAATATCTCCCTTCCGCTTTTTTGCTCTTTATTCAAAAAGGCGGACGGGAGATATTTGACAACCTTATATTTTCATGGGTTTCGTACCAATGTTTGTCCGTTACAATGCGACGCGAAAACAAGTTCAAAATTTTCAAAAAATTTCAGAATAAAAAAAAAATCAAATTTTCTAAAAAAAAAGTCAAGTTCCCGATATCGTCGACGAAAATTTGTATCCGAACACACACACATACATCCATTTTTTCTAAGGTATGCCAAAATGTTCGGAAACCTTTGAAACGTAAAGATATATAAAAAATTTCATTTTCGATTTTTTTGCGATTACTATAGCTTGCCTTACGGGAAGTTAATTAAGTTAAAAAAAGCAATTACAATTTATCAGAGATCAGAACCAACGGGATGTGCTGAGAAGGCTTCATAGATGGCTCGCAATCGTTACGCGTAAGCTCGCGTTTCGTTGCATTCCGAGTGGTTTTAAGTATATATAACGATTAATCCGAAATTTCTTTTAGGGGTCTGGCGCTTCTTGGGAACAGAGTTAGGTAATGGTGGCAATGGAGCTCGATCTCGTAGAAACCCGTCCCGGGAGGGTTCTCGTAGAAAGAGTCGTTCATATGTCCGTCTGAGCCAATTCTAGAAATGACGCGTTTAGCGTCGCCCTTAGAGATATGTCAGAGCCGTCTTAACGTGCTTTCTGCATATAAGTCGGTGGCATTCGTTCTCAAAAATACCACAGAAGCAACGTTGACCCCTATATTTTTTTACTTTTTTTTCTATATTTTCAAGTAGAATTATTAGTAGAAATAACCACTGCTACAGACTTAGAGATATTCTTGTTAATTTTAAAGGGATTTACGACATAATAGCTAAAACTAGCAAACAATATAAATTTTATAGGTGCATTTTTTTCGAGATAATACTGTATATGACCATGATCTGGTATTCCGTCACAACTATTTATAAGCAAAGTTATAATGACTCAATAACTATTCATTGCATTTATTTTTTGCAAAATTTCTTTTTTTAAATATATTTTATTTGCCATATTTATTGTACGTAATTTAAAAATGACATTACATCTTATAAAACAATTAATAAACGATATATTAAGGTCTTGTAAACTAATATATATCTTTTTCCTCTACTTTCAAATATTGTTGTTAAAAAATTAATAACTTCACTAACTTCCCGTAGAGCAACTTATTGCAATTGTCCCAAAATCGAAAATGAAAATGTTTGCATCTTCACGTTTTGGAAGTTTCTGAACATTTTAGCATACCACAGAAAAAATGGATGTGTGTGTTTGTTTATGTGTGAATACAAACTTTTGTCGACGAATTCGGGCGTACGGATCAACCGATTTAAATGACTCAAAAAGTAATCGATTCCTATTACAGGAAGACGTACTGATTAGTTTTTAGCAAAGACAGGTCCAGTTACGGAGATATAGAACAGAAAATACAGAAAATAGAAAATAAGTTTTTGAGAAGAAAGAGCATGAAATTGGAATGATTCAAAAAACACTTCGAATATTTTATTACGGTACGGGAAGTTCCGGCAATTTGTCTATACCACAACTAGTTTGTTTTTGAGATATCAGAGGTGAACCTTTTTACCCACAGACCGTTAAGCCCCGTTCTACCCTAAGTAATTTCTGAAATTATTTTATAACTTGATCTCGCCCGTAGGTAAGCGGTTAAGAGCGACAGGACTTGTTAGGTCCCGGGTTCGATACCCACTTCGAGCAGCCTGTTGTCAGGCAGCAGTGACAACGATTTTCACTTGGAAATATAGATAGCAATATGTTTCCATGTGAAAATAGCACTTGCCCGGCATTGCTGCACTAATAAAAGGTCAGCCCTATTAGATTCTAATAACAAAAATTATCAAATATGGATGGATTAACCATTGGGTTACCATCTAAAAATACGAAGTGAGGAGAAGTTTCAGCCCAAACAACAAATAGGACGTAAGGTTCTGATTGCTGTTAAAAATATAATAACAAAAAAAAAATGTATATGACCGAAGCCTGCATTATATCGGCTACAGACTACAGTCGACCGAATGACCGGACAATTCAAATTTTTAAATCATTCACAAGCGAGTAACTCTTCCAACTGGCGTTTTTCTATTATGCATCGACAACAAATCGATGGACGCGACCTGCGTTCTCGATGTTGCTTTATGCATCGCCGCGATTTATTACCGACCGTATTGAGTTCGATGTTTTTATTTGCCGCTCGGTTGTTTTGCACCGTTCGCTTTATACGCTGTGACCGATCTTCTACAATGCTCTAAATGTTTACAAATAATTCCACTTCGAGTCAAATGTGTGAACATTCCTGTTTTGCATACATTGATTTACGTAAACATACACATACTCTTATATATAAAATTCTTCTGTACGGATGTATGAATATTTCTCATAAACGATTATTCGGATTTTGATCTTTTTTTGAAGTTTGTTAAGGAAAATTTTAAGGATTTAACCCTTTCGACTCGGATGCCGCCGCTCCGGCGGCATAGTCATTTTACCGTTGCGCTCGGATGCCGCCGCTCCGGCGGCATGATATGTTTTACCGTTAAGCTCGGATGCCGCCGCTCCGGCGGCAAATCGTGTCGGCGACGACTCGTCGCAAACTAAACTTACATTTAATTTTTTTTATTTTTTAAAAATTAATTTACTATTACATTCATTAATTGATTGATTTATTAATTTTATAAATAAATATATAACAAAATTAATTTATTAGCTCATGATCCCCATAATTCTAATAAAGATCTGTGAAGAAATGATTTTTTAAACAATATAGAGTGCAACATTTTCTATTTTATTATCATAATAACTATATAAAAGCAATATAACCACATTTTGAAAAAAATCCGATACAAAAAAAAATTCCGAGTTAAGAGATAAGTATAGCACTATAATATTCCGAGCGCAGCGTACCGACTGGCAGTCCGACTCCCGAGTCGAAAGTGTTAAATGATTATAAAACTATAGTAATATTGTAGAAATAAATGGAAAAAATTGCAAAAAAACAACATATCATTGTTTGACATTGAAAACATTTTGACAGAACTGACACCTGCCAGAAATGTCATTTTACTTGAAATTTAATTTAGTTTAGAGCCTAGACATTATTAAAATATAATATAATCATGATTATAAATAAGAGCAAGTGGGGCGCATGGCATCGTGCCTTAAGGCAAATTGCTGGAACTTTTCGTACCAAAAATTACTATTTTTTTTAAAAGGATTAACATTTTTGACAAAATTTCACTTTGAAAAAATTAGATTTTTGAGAAACTATAAATTTGACAAAAAATTACTTTTTTTTGAAAAAAAAAAGTTTTTAGATAAAGATGTTTTTTTTATTCTGACATATTTTGGAAATTCAGAACTTTTTTTCAAAGCAATCGTAAGCGCCGCGTCGCCGTCTAACGGATTAACATTGGTACGGAATCCATAGGAATGTAAACAAAATTAATACTTACTGTTAAAATCTCTATAAAATATCTGATAATTTGATGTGCATATGTCTAATGATCATTTTTCACCGTGGCAAATTTTTTTTTTTTTACTTTTTTCACTAGATCTTCAAACCGCTAGACCTGCCTTCATGAAAATTTGATCAATCCTTCATCTCGTTAATACAAGTAAAATGTTTTTTTAAATTATTCAAATCGGACGCTCCGTTCTCTTAAAAACTGAGTTACCGTTTTTGGCACTTTTTGCCCCATATCTTTGGAACGGCTAGACCTGCCTACGCCAAAAACTAATCAGAACGTCTCCTTATCAATACGAATCGAATGTTTTTTGAATTATTCAAATCGCTTAATCCGTGTTCCTGAAATCGTCGACGAAAATTTGTATCCGCACATACACATACCATTGTATTCTATGGGTTCCGTACCAACGCTTATCCGTTAAACGGCGGCGCGGCACTTACGCGCTTTGACATTTCGTCTCTATGCAGTTCAAGCAGTACGATTGCTTTGAAAAAAAGTTCAGAATTTCCAAAATATGTCAAAATAAAGAATTCATTTTTTTTTTTAAAAATTGTGTTTTCAAAAAAAAATTTTTATTTCACGGTTTCTCAAAAATCTAATTTTCTGAAGTAATTTTTTTTCAAAAACGTTAATCGTTTTTAAAAAAATAATAATTTTTAGTACGGGAAGTTCCAGCAATTTGCCTTAAGGCACGATGCCCTAATTGCCTTAAGACAGAATTCGACTTACAGCTAGTTCTTTTGACATTTATGCGTTTTCTAGGCTAGGATTTCTATCCAAAACGCCTGACTGCACAGCAACCACATAAGACTTTGACAGTTTTTAGTACCATTTCATATGAAAACTGCTAGATCTATTTTATGACAGAATCGGCTCCTACGTTTCCTTTTCTAGCTAGCCAACAGAAGATTTACAAACGTACCTGATTCAAAAGTGAAGTTTCGGACAGCCACGCGTTGCCAGAAGTATATTCTCCCGGGGCGACTACCACAACATCAACGGCCCTCGGCCTGAGCTCTCGGCGCAGACATGATGCCAACGCCTCCAGAGCGGCCATACCAGCACAGTGGACACCTCGTACAGGTGCGGATACACGTGCTAAGCCTGAAGTCACGAATACGACCCGGCCCCGTGCTTTGCGTATCAATGGTAGCATTGCTTGAGTCAAACGAGTGGTACCTGAAAAAAATAGTAATAAGATTCATCTGCAAGGAAGTTTCAGCAATGTGCCTTAAGGTTAAGGCACGATGCAATGATTCACAGTGAAGCAATTTGAAAATGGACTTACCTAGACTTTAATCCTACCTTCGCTTTATGTTATACAAATATCGCCAGATATCGGTGGCAAATTTTGAAAAAAAATACAAACTAGCTGTAATTGAAATTCTGTCTTAAGGCAATTAAGGCATCGTGCCTTAAGGCAAATTGCTGAAACTTCCCGTACCAAATATTATTATTTTTTTCAAAAACGATTAACATTTTTGAAAAAAATTTATTTCGAAAAAATTAGATTTTCGACAAACTAGGAATTTGACAAAAAATTACTTTTTTGAAAAAAAAAATTTTTTGAAAAAAAATGTTTTCTTTATTTTGACATATTTTGGAAATTCTGAACTTTTTTTCAAAGCAATCGTACTGCTTTAACTGCATACAGACGAAATATCAAAGCGCGTAAGCGCCGCGTCGCCGTCTAATGGATAAGCATTGGTACGGAATCCATAGGAATGCAAACAAAATTTATACTCATTGTTAAAATCTCTATAAAATATCTGATAATTTGATGTGCATATGTCTAATGATCATTTTTGATCACCAAATGGTTCATTTTTTGTTGCTTTTTACTCCATATCTATAAAGCCATTGAACCTGCCTTTCCAAAAATTTGAACGGTTCTTCATTTAGTCAAAACAAATAAAATATTTTTTGAATTATCGGCTCCGTTCTCTTAAAAACTGAGTTACCGTTTTTGGTACTTTTTGCCCCGTATCTTCGGAACCGCTAGACCTGCCTTCGCCAAAACTAATCAGCACGTCTCCTTATCAATACGAATCGAATGTTTTTTGAATTATTCAAATCGCTTCATCCGTGTTCCCGAAATCGTCGACGAAAATTTGTATCCGCACACACATACACACCCGCACACACATACACGCCCGCACACACATACACACACACACATACATCCATTTTTTCTAAGGTATGCCAAAATATTCAGAAACCTCTGAAACGTAAAGATATATAAAAATTTTCATTTTCGATTTATTTGCGATTACTATAACTTACCCTACGGAAAGTTAATTATATTAAATTTTAGTTCCTCGTTATTTATTAAAAAAATTAGCTTAAGATATTTTCAAAATAACATCTTCTCAAAACATTTACATTACAGCAAAACAATTCAACAAGTTTACTCAAAAAGAGGTTGGAAACCACTGATTTATAGTAATTCTAATGAAGGATAGTACGAAGTATATAATTAATGTATAATAATACCAATTACTATTTGTAATATATTTTGTCACAATAATATTTGTTATAGTTTTACCAATCACTTACTTCGTCGAAGTTAAATTTAAAAATAACTAGTGCATGGCATTGTGCCTTAAGGCAAATTGTTGTAGGTTAATTTTCTGAAAAACTTAAAAATAAAAAAAAAGTTATTTTGAGAATTTTGAAAATTTGAAGAATTTTTAGTTTTTTAAAATGTTTAAGAAATACGACATTTTTGAATCTTTTGAAACTCATTTAAATTGGTTGATCCCTACTGTCGGAAATGTCGAAGGCAATTGCTTGGAGTATATAAGTGAACTTTAAACATTATAAATCTTACGGTATGCAAATAAATAGAAGCAAAATCAGTTTTATTAAAATCTTTATAAAGTATCTGATAATTTGATGTGCATAAGTCTAATGATCATTTTTGGCCGCCAAATGGCATTTTTTCAAACATCTATGTTCTAAATCTCTAAAACCGCTGGATTTGAATTGCCAAAAATATAACTAATTCTTCTATCCGTCAATATGAGCAAAATGTTTTTTGAATTATAATATTCACAACAAAAGTATATTTTTATGTTGGTTGTTTTTATGTTTTAAGCCCTTTTATTTAGTTTATGATGCCTGAATATTTTTAAGTATACGTTATTAAATTGTTTCATAAGATGTATTATTATTTTTAACAGTTTTTTTATATAATCTCATAACTAAACCTTTATAATGGCAAATGTGTAAACAGAGAACTAATAAAAAAAGTAAAATTAGGTTAAAAAAAACAATTACCAATTATCAGAAATCAGAACCAACGGGTCCTATGTGCTGAGAAGGCTTCATAAATGGCTCCCAATCGTTACGGGTAAGCTCGCGTTTTGTTACATTCCGAGTGTTTTTAAGTATATATAACGATTAATCCGAATTTTATGTTAGGGGTCTGGCGCTTCTTGGGAAAGATGTCAGGTAATGGTGGCGATGGGTAACTCTTCCTTGTAGTAATCCTTCCCGGGGGGGTTCGCGTAGGAAGAGTCACCCTATGTCCGCCTGAACCGATTCTAACAATGACGCCGTTTCGCGAACGGCGTCGCCCTTAGAGATTTGCCGAAACTGGCTTAACCTGCAATTTGCATGTTAGTATAGTGGGGCGTTCTCACAAATACCACAGAAGCAACGTTGACCCTTTTTGGTGAACTTTGTACTATCAAAGCTTAGTAGTTCACTATTTTTTTTTCTATATTTTCATGTAGGATTGTTGTCTACTGCTACAGACTTTGAGATATTCTTGTTAATTTTAAAAGGATTTTACGAAATAATAGCTAAAACTAGCAACCAATATAAATATTATGGGCAATTTTTTCAGAGATAACACTGTATATGACCATGATCTAGCATTTTGTCACAAATATTTACCAGCAAAGTTAGTATGCATAAGTCTGATGATCATTTTTGGCCGCCAAGTGGCATTTTTTCAAACATCTATTTTCTTTAAAATCACTGGATTTGCCTTCCCAAAAATATAACAAATTCTTTCATCCGTCAATACGAGCAAAATGTTTTTTAAATTATTCAAAAACTAACTTGTCATTTTTTGCACTTTTTGTCCTTTACCTTTGAAATGGCCGGACCTGCATATGACAAAAACTAATGAGTACGTCTCCCTATCAAGACAAATCAAAAGTTTTTTGTATCATTCAAATAGGGTGATCGTTGCTCTCAAAATAGTGGACGAAAATTTGTGTATATACACACACACACCCACACACACACACTTACACATATACATCAATTTTTACTAATCGTAAGGTATGCCAAAATGTTCAGGAGATTCTGAAACGTGAAAATATTTTTAAAAAAATATTTTCAATCTTTGAGCGAATACTATAGCTTGCCCAACAGGAAGTTATTAATATATTGAAAAATTCTAAAACCAATTTTAGAATATCTAATCTGCAGAGAGTATCGTGTATTTGAAACAAAATTATATTAGTTAAAGGTATCCACTTAATTCATATATAACATGAAATAACATAAGTTTAAAACTAGTAAAAACAGGTATTGACGTTGTTGCAATAAAATATCTAGTTAGATGTTCTAGATCTTCTAGAAAACACATTCATAATGATGTTTCTACGTCTGCTATAAAAATTATAGTTATGTGTATCTGTAACAAAATAGCTATAAATTCAACTTTATTTTACATCCCTATGTAGGTATTAATGCAAAATCTTCTGAAATATATCATCGCCCACCGAGGTCACGCGGGCCTACGCAGACATAAATTATCCGCGGGTAGACATCGTCTCAAGGAGGATATTTTAACGTTGCCCTTTTAAAACTGCATTGATGTTGACATGCTATCAAACAATGTTTTTCTGCATAACGAACGCATCGCTCCTCGGAGCTACTTAATAAATCAAATAAATTTCAAACTACGATCATTTATCATGCAGGAAAAATGCAGTTTTCAAAACATTTGCGGAAAGGAATTATGGAGTCATCTCGGAACGATATGATGAAATAGGGAGTGAAAGATAACTCGGATTCGTACCTAAAAGGTTGACGTCCATGGACCGCCTGACAACCGAGAAAGGAACCCATTCGAGTTCGCCCATTGCGCACCAAGCGGCGGCATTCACCACGGCGTGGAGGCCACTCGCACCATCCGGTAGATGTTCCACTATGTATAAAGATGCGGACAGAATCTGACAAAAAAATAATATTATGTTCAAATATTTTATAATGTAATAATGTAATAATAATGTTAGGGGTGCCCATTAATCACGTGAGGTTTTTAGGGGGAGGGGGGGTCTAACAAAAAATCACGAAATATCACGTGGGGGAAGGAGGGGTATAGTAAGATATCACGTGTATTTATTTTTTAAATGATTTTTTTTTAAATTCAAACAGTTTAATTTTTTTTTAATTCTACAGTTTTATCACGTAACTAAAAACACACGTGATGTTTGGATGGGGGAGGGGGGGTAATTTTGAATATCGCCATGTATGACCAAGGGGAAAGGGGGGGTCCGAAAATCCTTAAAAACTCGCTCACGTGAATAATGGACGCCCCCTTAATATATTTTAATAATGTAAACTAATGGTGCATGGCATCGTGCCTTAAAGCAAATTGCTGGAACTTTCCATACCGAAAACTAAATTATTAAAAAAAACTTAGATTTTTGAGAAATTTTTGAAAATATTTGACTTTTTTGAAAAATTTTAATTTTTTTATAGTTTGATTTATTTAGTATTTTGATCTTTTTTCAAATTTTCAACTTTTTTTAGGCAAACGCGCTGCATAGCTGATTTGATGTCGAAATATGAAAGCGCGTAAGCGCCGCTTAGTCGTTTGATGTGTGAATATTGGTACGGAACCCATATAAATGTACACAAAACTTGTACTTATTATAATCTTTATAAAATATTTGATAATACGATGTACATATGTCTAATGTTCATTCTTGACCGCCAAATGGCATTATTTTTTACTTTTTTTATTGAATCTTCGGAGACGCTGGACCTGCTTTTACAAAAATTTTACCAGTTGTTCATTTTGTCAATTCAAGTAAAATGTTTTATTTAAATCGAACGCTCCGTTATCTTAAAAACTGATTTACCATTTAACCATAACCCTGCCTTTGCCAAAAACTAATCAGCACGTTTCCTTATCAGTAGGAATCGAATGTTTTTTGAATTATTCAAATCGGTTGATCCTAGTTTGCAAAATCGTCAAAAATTTGTATCCGCACATACACACATATATCAATTTTTTTAAAGGTATACCAAAATGTTCAGAAACCTTTCAAACATAAAATTATATAAAAATTTTCATTTTCGATTTTTGCGATTACTACAACTTGCCCTACGGGAAGTTAAAAAGTAGTTATTCCGACTCTGCTGATAAATATGACAAAATACCAGATCAAGGTTATTAACAATGATTTATCTGCAAAAAATGCCCCCATGAAATATATATTTTGCATTGGTTGAATAATGTTAGCTTTTATTTTGTAAAATTTCTTTAAAATTAAAATAAGACATTGAAACTGTTTGCCCCCTTGCCGTTCCAAATCACTCCGCCTATAGGGTAAAAAGGACCAGGTTACAAATTTTTTAAAAACAGCAAAAAAAATTTTACAATTCATTAGCTGGGAGTTTTACTTAATATAGTCAGATTGTTGTTTATTTGGTATGTGTTATTTTTGCAATATAATTAGTTTAGTTTTCAAAATATAATATTGGACCTTTGTGCCCCGCCCTACCCTATATATATATATATATATATATATATATATATTTATATATATTTATATATATACATGTCTGTGTGGAAGTAGATGTTAATGGTAATGTCTTTATAAAAACAAAGGGTTGAGGGCTAATGTGTTTTTGTCCATAGTTTGCCTCGAGATGTCTACTTTAATAACGATTTCAACGATCACGCTTGAACCTCATGCACCCTTCCGAGCATCTGAAAACTTTATATACACATTGTGTTTACTTAAACTTTTTGTAAGCCATAAAATAAATTCTTCCAGTTTATATAAACGCATCGCATATTTTTTACCGGATATAGGAAACTTCTGAAGAAATAAATTAAAAATGCCGCAAACACGTGTTCCTTTCAAAAACTGCTTACAGAACTTAAGGAAAATAAATATATACGTGACATTAACGTGTATATACTTGGCACCGCGATGGTGGAAATTGGCAAAACTGATATGACCTGATTTTTTGACGATTTTTTTGCTGTCGATTGGTGCAAACTAAAATTTTTTTGCTCTTTCCGTTCTCGAGATAAATGGGTGGGGCCAAATTCGGTGCTAACTATATATATAGTCAGCACCGACCCCTTTAAAAATGCAAAAAAATTAAAATTTCTTTTTCCTATCGTTATCAGTAATTTTTTTGCTGTCGAATGGTGCAATTAATTTTTGGAAAAGTTTTACCCATCATACATTTTCACGCATAGGAAAATTCCCATTTTTGCCAATTTCAAAAAATTGACAAATTTGAAAATGCCCAATTTTTTTGCTCGCTTACTTAAATATAAAACAAAAAAATTTTTTCCAAAAAATTCATTTTTTCACCCCCTTTTCAGGGGGGTTGCCAATTTTTTCGGGTGGCCACAGGTCACTTTTTCAAAAATTTAAAAATTGTTTCGGAATCTGTGATTTTTTTGCTCTGCGATACAAAAAAGAAAAATTAAAAAAAATAAGTTTTAATTTTGATTTTTTTCGTAGTATGAAAACAAATTGCAATCCGCTTTAAATATGCTTATTTTTTTCCAACAAAATCATCAACAATACCTTTACAAAAATGTGTTCGACAGGAATTAATAGTTTCATACAATTTTTATATAAATTTGTTAAAATGTAACAGGAATCGCGGTGCATATATATAGCCGTCTCACTCGCTCAATGGCGTATAGCTTTCTCACTCGCTCAGCTTCGAGAGACCCAGTGCGTAGACGTAGAGACTCTCTACGCCGTAGAGTCTCTCGGCGGCGGGTGGCCAAAGAGGCATTATTTATTTACTGAAATTACTGAAATATTGTTGACTAATTGATTCATTAAGTCTGTTTTGGGGGTAAGTAAATAAATTGAAAAGCATCGTATACTACGTAGTACTTATGGAAGCAAACTATTCGTTTTTATGCTACGAAAAAAATCAAAATTAAAATTTATTTTTTTGAATTTTTCTTTTTTGTATCGCAGAGCAGAAAACAATTTTTAAAATTTTGAAAAAGTGACCTGTGGACACCCAAAAAAATTGGCAACCTCTCTGAAAAGGGGTGAAAAAATGAATTTTTTGGAAATTTTTTGTTTGTTTTATATTTAAGTAAGCGAGCAAAAAAATTGGGCATTTTCAAATTTGTCAATTTTTTGAAATTGGCAAAAATGGGAATTTTCCTATGCGTGAAAATGTATGATGGGTAAAACTTTTCCAAAAATTAATTGCACCATTCGACAGCAAAAAAATTACTGATAACGATAGGAAAAAGAAATTTTAATTTTTTTGCATTTTTAAAGGGGTCGGTGCTGACTATATATATAGTTAGCACCGAATTTGGCCCCACCCATTTATCTCGAGAACGGAAAGAGCAAAAAAATTTTAGTTTGCACCAATCGACAGCAAAAAAATCGTCAAAAAATCAGGTCATATCAGTTTTGCCAATTTCCACCATCGCGGTGCCAAGTATATACACGTGTGACATTATCTGCTGTACAATAACAATATAAGTAATGCGATAAAAATTTTATCGGTTTCTCGAATATATAAATTTTTAAATCTATTGGAAGTTTTTTTTTTAATTTTGCATATTGGTTTAGTTACTGTTTTTGCACAGTATATTTTTAACAATTTTCAATATGTAATTTGTTTTTCAGTTTGTCCATTAGTAATACATTTGGCCATTTTAAGTAGCTTTTAATGGGTAAATTTAATAACTAACCGAGTGGTAAAACTACTTCCACCACTTACCTTTTCTGATACCTGGTTACCTAGTAAAAAAATACCTGATACATTTCGTTTTATAATTTATCGTTTAATGTAGTCTGGGGTTGAAATCATTGTTTGAATTCTATAAGATCTGCAGAGGTGAAAAGATTTATAAATTAGCCAGAAAAGATTATTTTTACTTGAATAGATACATCGTAATTATTTTTCTGCTCGTGTATTTATTCAAGATCTTTTTATAATTCTTTATAATAAATTTCAAATAAATGTGCAAAGTACTTAGTGGGAAATTGTCTGTGTGCAAGTATTGTTTAAATGTAAATTTTATATTCATTGTATATAATAGCTCTAAATATTTCACATACATGTCACGTTCACATTGCATATAAAGTAATAATTTATCATTGATGTATAATATAGGGTCAAACAAGGTTAAAAAAATCAACCAAATAATTAAACTGCATCGCATTGATTGAATGAAAAAATAAAATAGTGTTTTTTCCCCGTTTATAGGGTACAAAATATCAGTTTTTTTCTAATAGCAAAAAAATCAAATTTCTACAATGATGAAAGCAGGGTGTTATACTGAACATAGTCAGATAGTTGTTTGTTGGATATGTGTTATTTGTTACATGTTATACAATTGGACCTTTGTGCCCCGCCCTACCCTACATAGTCGGTGTAGGTTTACGTTATAATGAATATGAAATCTCATAACTTTAACTTAACACATAGAGTTGAAAGTTTAGTTATTGAGTAAGTTTAATTCCATCTGAGTAATTACTATCTGATGCCGAAATTATGCGAACGCAAAACATCTTAAATTAGCAATTTACGTTCTCTTTACCTTCCTTAATTAGCAATTATGCATAATCCGATTATGTAAAGCAATTTTCATCGATATAAAATATAATCTCAATTTAATTCTATATTCATTACTCATAATGAGTAATTAAAACTTTCATTAAAATATGACTGATGGCAATTACATTATAATTTAATAGTATATAATTAATTAGCTTATGATATTTGGTTTCAATATATTTGATGCTTTACTTTGATTTATATTAAACAAGTTAATAAAGTGTAAAATGTATACATAATCCTTAATTGAGATTTAGCTATTTAGATTAAATATTAAACTATTTCTTTCGAAAATATCATTTTTATGCTTTTACTAAAATTAATCTATACGAATTCCAATTGAATTCTTTATACCATATTTATAATATCTGTAATTGTA